GGTCAACTATGGGGTATCGTTGTACCCCAAATGCGACGTAGAATCCGAAAATGTAGGGGGCCCCTATTTAAAATAACAAAGTTGATGGCTACTTCTGGTATTTGCGGAAGTGGCGCTATCTTGAAAATACTTTAGTTCAATTCATCATGTGCCAAAGCTCTTAAAGGACTTATCAGTTTAGTTTCATTTTCAGAGGTTCTCCATATCTTATTACTGACGCTCGTCAAGAATGACCCTATACTGTGGCGCAGGGCCGCCGTTAGCCTCCACGAGCCCCGCGAATATATTTGATGACCGGGGCCCTATAATGACAAATTTGTTTGTTCATCATTCTTATCTCCAGCTAATCTTTCCTTCTTGGATTCAAAAGGAGAATATTATTTGAATAATTTTCCTACAGGCACAGTAATTTTCATAATTTCACTCTTGGGATTTTCTATTAGTCAAATTAGTCGATATCACTTGATCAAAATTAATTTTTCTAGCAAGTTGAGATGCAAGAGCCAGCACGGAAGTCCTCGCTGAGCACCTGAGGCCGTAAAAAACAACTTATTTAGGAACTTAGTAACTTTTAACATATGAAAAAACTTTGTGCTTCAGCATTTAGGATCACTATATTCGCAGATTTCTGTTAAATAATACAAATGAAAATCAAGTTACAGGATCTTTTTTGGTCGGGCCCCCAGAATACGGTGGGGCCCCGTATTATTGTTAGTTAGGTAAATGTAAATTAATAAAACCACGTAATTAAATGTAAGTTACGCTGGTGTCAAGTGTCGGGTTATGTAAGTGGACAATTAGTCGAAGTTTATGCCAGTAGAAACCAGATCTACTACTTCAAGAAAAATGTAACAACTGCCCCAGTTAATGCAAAAACTCATAGCCAGTCAAGATGAAATGAAAGCAACAGGCTAATGGAAGCTAAAATCGAAAAAGCCACCGACATTCGATAGAAAATCACCGTGGTCCACCTACTTAAGACAGTTTGCGGCTTCTGTCGCTACAAACAAATGGATAGTAGAAGAGAAGGCAACTTTCCAGATAGTTGCTTTAGGTGGAGATGTTTTGCGTATATCGCGATTATGCGGAACGAATACGGACTTTCATTGTTAGATTTCGATCCAGTCAATGGCGTAATGCCATACCTTCGAGGGATTACCCACAACATTACCTTTAGAATAATTAGAACAATTAGAAACAATTAGAACAATTATTTTATAAAATAAAAAATCAAAAAGTGTTCACAACTGCACAATTAACTAACAATATAGTATATTAAGATACAAGTGTATAATCAAGTCTTTAAAGCACGCGCAACGAGTTTAAGGGCACGACGCAAAGCGGAGTGCCTTTAACGTTGCAAGTGCTTTAAAGACCAATTATACACGTGTATCTTATAGTATTTTTTATTATACCTGCAGTATAATTTAAAAATAGGAAATACAATGAAGTCATATTGACGTTATACTCGAATACATGTCTAATTAAGTGGGCTGGGTGTTCGTAATTTCACGATTGCCATGGAAATGTCACTTGACGTTTGCTTATAAAAATCATCGTCTTTGTGAATTAAACGATTTCCGTTGAAAAAGATAATACACCGTCCATTAAATCGATTGTTGTAAAATCTAAACAAACTGGTAGGTGTAAAATCCAAATCCAGTAAAGCCTATTATAAAGAATATGAAAAGTTGTTTCCATGGATGGAATAGGAAGTTACTTACGAATAAAGTCTTAAATGCATCCATAATGCTGGCATATATGAAGGAAATGTCAAAGGTATTTAAATCTTCTATATTTTGGTGCATTCATTCAAAACTTTAAAGCAATGCTGCGATTAAAAAGTGGAGCAGATTTGGAAGCATACCCTAAATTACGCGCGTTTGTGAAAGCTTCAACCAAAGGATAGGTACAAAAGCCAAAGAAATGTTCTGCATTTAAGAAAGCGACCTAAGAGGATTTTTTATTTCATCCAGATGACAGTTTCAAAAGTCATACTTGAAGTATCGTTACTTAGCAACTTTAAAGCACGTGTGTTTTAAAGGCCCTTTTTCGCACGCATTTGAATGTTTAAAACGGAGATTGTGATTCAGGTATAATAAAATTTTTTTTATTATACCTGAATCACAATCTCCGTTTTAAACACTCAAATGCGTGCGAAAAAAGGCCTTTAAAACACACGTGCTGTGATGATACTTCAATTATGACTTTTGAAACTGTCATCTGGCACTGAAATAAAAAACCTTCCTAGGTCGCTTTCTGTAAATGCAGAACATCTCTTTGGCGTGTATCTATCCTTTGGTTGAAGCTTTCACAAACGCGCGTAATTTAGGGTATGCTTCCAAATCTGTTCCACTTTATAATCACAGCATTGTTTGAAGTTTTGAATGAGTGCACCAAAAGATAGAAGATTTAAGTACCTTTGACATTTCCTTCATATATGCCAGCATTATCGATGCATTTAAGACTTTATTCGTAAGTAGGTAACTATTCCTATTCATCCATGGAAACTGTTTTCATATTCTTTATAATAGGCTTTACTGGATTTGGATTTTACACCTACCAACGTTTGTTTAGCTTTTACAACAAGCGATTTAATGGACGGTGTATTATCGATTTCAACGGAAATCGTTTTATTCACAAAGACGATGATTTTTATAAGCAAACGTCAAGTGACATTTCCATGGCAATCGTGAAATTACGAACACCCAGCTCACTTAATTAGACATGTATTCGAGTACAACGTCAATATGAATTCATTGTATTTGCTATTTTTAAATTACACTGCAGGTATAATAAAAAATACTATAAGATACACGTGTATAATTGGTCTTTAAAGCACTTGCAACGTTAAAGGCACTCCGCTTCGCGTCGTGCCATTAAACTCGTTGCGCGTGCTTTAAAGACTTGATTATACACGTGTGTATTAATATACTATTATTTATATTATTTATATTAATTATAATATCTTGCGAATAACCAATAGTAGACACAGGTTACCAGAACGCCTGCCACAGTTCTCGCTTCTTGATTTGGCAAAGAATATGCTTCTGCCCATTTACTGAAATAGTCTATGGCTACCAAGATGTATTTGTTTCCAATGCTTAGCTGTCTCTGAGAAGGGACCTGCGATATCAGTGTATTCCTTCAAATGGACTACCCACATTGTAGGTATTGCCTTCTTCTTTTCTACTGTCCCTTGCTTATGGCATAAACTGCACATTTTCTGTACCATTCCTTCACATCTGGTTTGCAATTTACCCAATAGAATCGTTCCAGCACCTTAACCAGGGTTTTCGTCATTTCGAGATGGGATCCCGATATACCATCGTGTATCTGTCGTAGTACTTCAGATTTCTTATTCTCCGGTACCACTAGCTGCACAGTTGTGGTAGTGCCATCATCATTCTCTAGAACCCTTTTAGGAAGACCACAGTAACGAGTCCCACTGAGCCCAATAATCTTTTAAAACTGAGTCATATCGAGATATTTCTTCCCAGATCTTCATGCTTCAATGATGCGGCTGTAATGACTCCGTGGCACAACTTGTTCGCTACTTCCCTTTGACTCGTCCTAGTTTTCTCTGGCTGTACTGTTGGGACAATTTATTTGTGTTGGTTTTCACCACGGCTCTCGCCCAGCCCTCGTTATTTTTGTACAATGTTGCTCGATTGGGTAATCTTTTTAATCTTTCTTCTAAATTTTCATTTTCTTCATTTGTCACACGAGCATTACTAGGAGACGTTTTCTTTGCAACACCGAACTCCAGACTCCAGAGAATGCACCAAATCTGTTTCCAATTTCTCATGTCGCGCAAATTTTAAAGTTTGCTGCGCTTCCCGTCTCGAACACCATCGATAAACGTCTGCACCGGTATTAAGCTTTCTGGAGCGGTAGAATACGCCAATCTTACCAACCGGGCTATATCAGCTTCGAGTTCTTGCAAAGTTTTGTCCGATTTTTGCTTTCGGTTCTATGCTGCTTGCTGCTCACTATGGTATTGCTCAATTCTTACTGCATTGAAGCTTTGTTCGTTCTTCATCTTCCATCATCTTCATAAATTTCCATATGTTTGGGTGGGTTTTTTTCCATGAACTAAAGCAATGTCACTGAAGATCAAAGGTAGACGCGAGTTCTGTGCGCTGCCTTGAAAGAGGAAGAGGTCACGTGTTTCATTCCTACGACACCCCTGACCCTCTTCAGTCAGAGAACGGGAATGTAAGGATGGGTAAAGTTAAGGATGGGAACGGAAGGAACGGAGTTAGGGTGCTGAGTGAGAAGAGTCCTGCTCCAGCATTCGCCTTGTAGATTTCAACATAATGCTAGCAAGCATTATACGAAGCTACGTACGTCTGAGGAAAACCATCTGACAAAACCTCAGACAGAGCAGTCGGCAGCGGGATTCGAACCCACAACCTCCCGAATAGCAGTCGGTAACGCAACTACTGAGCCACCGGCGTAGGGGAGAATTGAAGGTGACATAGAATGCAGGGTAACATGTGCTACTCATTTATTACCTATGAACTAAAACTCTGATTATTACATTCAGTGATTTTTTACTTGTGGTAACCGCATGTTTTGCAGATGTTTAGAAATCGTAATTCGCTGTCAAAGATTAATCTCAGGAACTTGGCCTCTTGGGGTATACTTATTACATGATCGTTCATAAATAAAAATAGATCGTAGTACGGTTTATGGAGTCGACAAAATTGTGGCCTGAGAACGTGCTCCAAACACGTGATAGAGATTTTCTAGGTATGAGATACCTATATCTGCCAGGGCTTAACTTTTTTTACAAAACAAATTATTCTACGCAGCTACAATCACTAGAATTTGAAATAATTATTACGTAGGTAGTTAATATTATATAATCGCATTTTATTCTATCTGTTTTGTGTTTTATATCGTTCGATAAAGTAGATAAAGAAACTGATAAAGGATATAAAGTATATCTATTATAGTATTTTCTAAAACCTTCCCTTGTAATACCTATAATCTACTTACTGCTACTACGATATCATAATTCTTAATCCCAACAGCGTAGTATATGTGTTGAAAATGTCAACCGGTACCAAAACATTACTGGTGGTAAAGTAGAGGGGACTGGTAGCAATTTGCAAACAAGCTGTTGATTTACTTGAGATAACCTCTGAAGTTAAGGTCGTACCTACTACTCGATTTCAAGGAAATACTTATGTAATCACTTTAATGTCGCATCTTCGATAGTGACCAGCAAGACGTCAAATAAGAGCCAAATGGTCGTACTTGACGTATCCAGGGTGTTACCTGGAAATACACCACAAATTTTTGCAACAGTTGCCGGTGAGTACCTTTATCACAATTCACATTAATAGAGGACCTACACAAATGTTATCTAGGTACCTTGACTGCATTATCTGATGGTATGCATTATGGATGGTCGGCTCCCATTATACCTCTGTTGCAATCACCCTCTTCGCCAGTACAAATAAGCGAGTCCGACGTAGTATGGATAGAAAATATATACTTGTTGGGAGGATTGATTGGAATCCCTCTTACAATATATATTTTAGATAAATTTGGCAGAAAAAATGCAATGCTGATTGCGGCGGTGGAGTACTTGATTGCATGGTTGTTGATAGCTTTCGCCTCATCGGTAGAAGTAATATTTGTGGCACGCCTTATTACTGGAATAGCGTCAGACAATAACTTTGTCGCGACACCTGTATATATAGCCGAAATATCTCATAAAAAAATACGAGGAAGATTAGGATCTCTCATATACATCATGATGCTGATAGGCATCTTGCTGATTTACTCAATTGGACCATTCATATCAATCGCGGCGTCGTCCGCCGTTGGAGCAGGCATTATAGTCGTTCAATTGTTAACGTTTTCATTTATGCCTGACAGCCCTTATTATCTCTTAGTGAAGAATAAGAAAGAAGAAGCGAGAAGAGCGTTACAAATACTCCGATCTTCCAAAGACGTGGACGATGAGCTGGACGAAATCGCTAAAGTAGTGGAGGTGGAAAATAAAGTACGCGGTCGACCTAAGGAATTATTTACCGTTAAAAGTAATCGAAAGGCCATTACAATTATGACCGTGCTTTGTTTTGCGCAGCACTACAGCAGCATTAGTGTAATGCTCATGAATATTCATATGATTTTGGAAGACGCTGCGGCAATTATTCCTGCAAGTACCGCCGCGATTGTATTTGCCGCTTTAATGCTTTTGGCGTGCACCTTATCGGCTTTTCTGATTGACAAAGTTGGCAGAAAAATTCTCTTACTGTCATCGAGTTTTCTAACTGGACTGTCCCTGTTGGTACTCGCCTCTTACTTTGCCATTAAAGAAAATAACATCGACGTTACGGATTACAACTGGGTGCCAGTTGCCGCTGTGATGGTATACGCGGTTACCTTCAAATACGGCTTAGGACTAATACCAATTGTAATGACTGCCGAGTTGTTTCCCACCAATATTAAGGCACTGGGTTGCACACTGTCAGATGCCATGTATGTGACTGCCGGTGCGTCATCAGTCTACCTCTTCCACTTTTTGCATAGAAATTTCGGTATGAACGTGCCATTCTTTCTTTTTGGATGTTCGTGTTTACTTGTTGGAGTCTTCGTTGTGTTTGTCATACCCGAAACAAAAGGCAAAACTTTGGACGAAATTCAGAAATTACTTAAGGGGGAGCCGTTGTCAACGGGTAAATCAAAGGAAATCAAAACAAATACAGTTCCCTAGTAACCCAGGTGCGCCTCAATTAAAAAGAACTCATTAGTGGTTTACTTAAATGTATGTCCATTGCATAGCATCAAGTACAGAAATACACACAGTGCATAAGTAAATGCTAATTTAGTGCCCTAGTTGCTCCTTTATCCTTTTTCAGAATACCATTAGCTTGATGTTATTTTCCGCTAGCTAGCTGAGTTTTCGGATGCACCCTAGTACTAAATCCAACACTTTTATTGTTGCCTGGCTATCGGTTACTATCGAGATTCTCTTATTTAAAGGTTTCGCTCCAATAGAACCTGAAAATAAACCTCTGATTGGAATACTGTACGTAATGGCCGAGACCTCCTGTATACTATTTCTTCTATTACAAAACAATCTATGCGATAAACGTTTCCACTCAGTTTTGGGGAGGTTTTTTCGTGCTCCCACGTCTCTTATTAGTGTGGCCATGTTGTAAGACACTTTTGGAGAGGTGCGTTTTTCTAATTCTGTGAAAGGTCTCTTCCATGGCGTTTACTTTGAATAGATCGTTCTCTGAATTTGTTTTTAACCCGCGAGCCCCTTTTATTCTCTCCGCTCCGCCATCACCACCAACACTAAGTTTGGAACCATTCCTGATTTTATGCCAAACTGTATGTTCCCTGTATATCCCTTCCCACACATATAAATTCATAACCATGTCGCATGCCTACGTGGTGCATATTGTACGATCTTTCACCTCCCCCTCTTTTTATCTCAATGAAGGTTGAATCATTCCTATTATTAGCTATTTTATTAATTATTCACATGTATTATTGATATCGGTATTGCCCCGACAATATGATGACTGATGAGCCTTTACACAGCATCGCATGATGGCATGCCAACTTTTGACTCTGCAATGGTCCACCAATTGTTTAACCTTTTTAGTGGGTGGATATGGAGATCCGAACACTAGCCCCCCGATGCCTCCTTACTGTCACTGTAGCCTGTAGCATTGTAAATACTTTAAACAATGCCTGCAGCTAACACTAGGTCCATGGTCCATGGAACAGATGTCTCATAATGGTGTTACTGTACTGCTTTTTTGACTATTGTGGTAACGGTATCGGCTATGTGTCTCAGTGGTAGAGCGTTGGGCTACATAACCGAAAGGTCGGGGGTTCGAACCTGGGCTGAGGTAAGAATTTTTCATCTGTGGCAGAAAAGGGATTTTACTTAGATCAGTTTCGAGCATTCTGCCGGCTATTCCGAATTAGGTTTTGCTGCAGTTTTCCTAATTCGTAAGGTAAATACCGGAGTAGTGTAGAACTTAAGACCTTCTGTAGGGGCACTTCTAAATTATGCGGGTCACTCTGTAATTGGGAATAAATAAATAAACAAATAAAATAAATAAATAAATAAATACACAAATAAATAAAAATTTAAAATGTGGTTCATTTTTTCAGGATTTTAAAGGGGTTGGAATTGAATTTTTTTAGGGTGGCTAGGTGCTAGGCCAAGTCAAAATTTGTTATTCTAAATTTCTTGCATAAATTTCTCGGATTTATTTGAGTGTTAATTCGCGCGTTTATAAATAGCGATATTTTGCAATACGGTAGTCGCAAAGACTTCTCAGTAGCAAATTTAAAACCCAATTTCACAGTAAAAGCAAAATTACTAATGCAAGTAAGCAAAGGCATTATTAAGTACTCTTGTGAATTATTTTGATGAGCAAATTAATTCGCTTTGAAAAAACTCTCAACGCAAGCTCCGGATAACTTTGGTTTAGAAAGCAGTTTGTCTCCGGTTCTCGTTCTTTAGTGTTCGGAGTCAAAAACGGTTTGGACCGACATCAATTTAGGGCATACAGTTTAAATTGTTGGATTACTTGTCAAGTTTCCTTCTGTCTGCTCTGCTCTATATTAGTCCCACAAGCAGGGGATGAAATCATTTATCTCTGTGGAGCCTCACAGATGAAGATAATCCGGGCAGTTAATCCCCCGGACACAGACTGCACAACGTTTCCTAGTCGCTTCCTGCTAGAGCCGATGAAGTACAAACTTTAGTAACACTGTTAGGTAAACAGCTATCGTTCTGCCATTCCCAGTTAGGACGTCCCTTATATATGCCCTGGGCCGGTTTTGCTCAAGGGCACCATTTTCCACTGTTTCCAAATACACAAGCACGTATAACCATTTTTATTTTCTTCATTACGAAGCATTATTATTGTTTACGTTTCACTACTTGTCGAAGAACCCCCGTAATATTTGATAGATGGCTCCACCTATTGAAGAAATCGAACCACGCAATTTTGCCAGGCAGGACTGACAGCGCCTTGATTTTTGGGTGTCCATTTTCATGCCTTTTCTTTGTAAGCCGCATCGCAGTACACGTCGGTTAAAAAAAACAGCTGAAATCGTAAGGTAGAACGCATGGAATTCTGATTGCCATCTTCCGAATTTCCTAAGTGATTATTTGGACGAGATTTGCCTGTGCTCCTAGTGGAGGTTATGCATGTGTTTTTACCCTTTTGTTGTAAGAACCGCCATGTTGCATTTCGTTCATTTATTGTGTCTTCTTTAAATTTCGGTTGTAATTATACGGTAATTTCCATCGACAATCGTTTGTTTCATATACGATTAACCCTCTTACATTTATGAGGTATGTAAAATTGTAGGCCATCAAAGAAGAGGGGTTACCTTTGATTTCTTTAAGGGTTCCAGACACGTTTTACATTGCATATAAATTCTTGTTCGACGTACAAGTTTTGTAACCTTGGGTTAAGCTGATCGTTATCTGCGGGTGCCGACGCCCTTAGCTTACCTCCACATCTGTTGATAACAAGCGGTCATCTTGCTGTGAAATAGGACATCGGGTCATGAAGGAGATTAATATTTAGGATCGACCCTCATAATGGGTAATTATTTTGCCCGTTCAGAGTGATATGCGATTACATTTAAGTAATTTGTAAACATTCGTAATGCTCCAGTATCTTTGCGTTCTCAGTTAAGTTATGATCGAGTTTGAAAAGCGAATGTTGTTGGAGACCATCACTTCCTTCTGGAGGGGTTAGCCAATTAAGTATCGTATCTGGTATAGAAGCAGATTACGAGTAGTGCGAGTCGCTTATGGTTACACAATGCAAAAAATTCAAAATAACTTACATTTATCGATGTGTCGAAATTTTTTCCAATTGACAGCTGACTCTGCGATTATACATATAAATGTCGCGCTTAAATTACGCAGTTTTTTTACTTATGTACTTGCCGAATTCTACACACGAAACGGAGAAGCCGTCTCTTATGTTCCGTCAAGACGGTTTTTAGAACCGGCAATACGTAGCGTTTCGACTCTTATCTGCTTGAACACTCGTTTCTTATCTTAACGTGTTTTATGTTCTTGCATAGTAGTTCTTCCATTATGAAGCGGTACACGTATAAAATTACCTATACTGGCAACTTTCCAAGCCTAAAGCGACCACCCCAAGTGATCACTGTAAGTGAGGCAAACTTATTTACGTAGAAATATGTATCCTTGCTGTATCAGTAGTTAATAATGAAAATAGGTAGCAACATTTGGCTGTAATGAATTATAAAAGACAATACCCTCGCTTCTCTTGTATTTATCTAATGTATCTGTACAATGACATACATTAGTTAGCAAATAATGCAATGCAATCATGTAATCATTTGGTAAGGCAAAAAGAAATAAATTACATCACCATCACCAAACGAATCATTCTGAACACCAAAAACAAGTGTAGGTACTTTCACTTTTTTGCTTCCGAGGAATGATTTATTTGTTTATTTATTGAATGACATACCGCGGGACACATTTAAATTCGAGAAGTTAAACTAAAAATTCGCGCTTTAAAAAAAAATTAAATCGAAAAAACTGGATACACCATAATGGTCTATATTTCTGAATCTCATAACTCTCAAGGTTTATTACTTAAGCCTTACATTTTAAAATTGTTTATTGTACCGCAATCTACTCTAGCTATTTGCTTTAAGATTTTGCAATGGTTGAAGATCAAGTATTAGATACCTACAATTATATTGCATATTACGTGATTCAGAGTGATGGTGGATTTGTTGCACTTTTACACCTCATAGCATCACGACGCTCTGCATTAACAGTTTTTTCACTGTCAGATTTATGATAACTTTTCGTAGCTTAATGAAGGCGAGGACAGTTGCGCATACTGTTCGTATTTGTTGAGTAAAAGTGAACAACAATAAAATGATCACACTTGACGTGTCAAAGGTGTTTCCTGGTAACACACCACAGATTCTGGCGACGGTAACGGGTGAGTGATTCCATTTAGTACTTATGAATAGTTAAAGAAAATGTCACCTAGGAACCCTAACTGCGTTATCCGATGGTATGCATTATGGATGGTCCGCTCCCATGATACCCGTGTTGCAATCACCCTCAAGTCCAGTGGAAATTGCAGATTCTCATATAGTATGGATAGAAAACATATACATGTTCGGAGGACTAGTTGGTTTACCAATTACAATGTTCACTTTAGATAAGTTAGGGAGGAAAAACACAATGCTAATTGCAGCGGTTGAGTATTTAATTGCATGGCTGTTGATAGCCTTCGCCTCATCGATTGAAATAATATTTGTGGCACGCTTTCTAACTGGAATAGCTGCAGACACCAACTTTGTAGCGACACCGATATACATAGCAGAAATATCTCAGAAAAAAATACGGGGAAGATTAGGATCCCTCATATACGTAATGATGCTGATCGGTATTTTGCTGATTTATTCCATTGGACCATTCGTATCAATCGTGGCGTCGTCTACTGTTGGAGCGGCCCTTATAATTTTGCAATTATCCACCTTTTCATTTATGCCCGATAGCCCCTATTATCTTTTGATGAAGAATAAGAAAGAGCAAGCGAGACGGGCTTTACAAATACTACGATCATCCAAAGACGTGGATGATGAGTTGGACGAAATCGCTAAAGTAGTGGAGGAGGAAAATAAAGTACGCGGTCGACCGAAGGAATTATTGACCGTTAAAAGTAATCGAAAGGCCATTACAATTATGACCGTGCTTTGTTTTGGGCAGCACTACAGCAGTATTAGTGTAATGCTCATGAATATTCACATGATTTTGGAAGATGCTGCATCGATTATACCAGCAAGTACTGCCGCCATTGTATTTGCCGCATTGATGCTTTTGGCTTGCACATTATCTGCTTTCCTTATTGACAAGGTTGGGAGAAAAGTTCTTTTGCTGTCATCGAGTTTTCTGACTGGACTGTCTCTGTTGGCACTCGCCTCTTACTTTGCCATTAAAGAAAATGACATCGACGTTACGGATTACAACTGGGTGCCAGTTGCCGCCGTGATGGCATACGCGGTTACCTTCAAATACGGCTTAGGACTAATACCAATTGTAATGACTGCCGAGTTGTTCCCTACCAATATTAAAGCAATTGGTTGCACCTTATCGGATGCCATGTATGTAATTGCAGGTGCTTCGTCAATTTACCTCTTCCATTTTTTGCACGATACTTTCGGCATGCATGTACCGTTCTTCCTTTTTGGATGTTTGTGCTTGCTCGTCGGTATCTTTGTTATATTCGTCATACCCGAAACGAAGGGGAAAACTTTGGACGAAATTCAACAATTACTGAAAGGAGAGCGGTTGTCAAAAAATAATTCCAAGGAGGTCAATGGAAATGCCTAAGAAAAAATACATCAACATTCGAGTTGTGATGTTTATAAATATTTCTCGTAAAACTGTATTGTAGATTTTAAGTTAAAGATAAATGTAGACTCTTATATTGGGCGATACATTGAATAATAAATCTGAATCAGATTTATTATTCAATGGCGATACTAAATGACTGCGAACAAGGATCTTCGCTGTGAATTTATTCAATGTTTAGTAAATAATCACCCATTAATGTGTTCTGAGATTCCAATTGCACCCACAATGATTTTATAGTTTAAGATGGATTTTTCCTGCTGGCGGGTCGTCAGGTTCCCTCGCAACCCAGGTGGCAGTCTTTCGAGGTCTAGGAAGGCCCACAGTTGTGGGAGGTTGCCAACCACCTCCTTCAACTTCTCATTGGAATGATTGTTCTCGCACGAGATTTCGCCTGAACCTCAAATCCCTGAACGTTTAGGGCGAAGAGATGCTGATCAAGACGCTTGGCCAGGTATTTCGTACCATATCCGTCTGGTGAGCCGTTAGCCTAGTCAGAGGGTTATTGGTATCTATGATCGCTACTGCGCGGTGATCCAGCCTTACTGACACCCGCCTTTGGTTGGGGCTGTGGTCTGCCCTTATTCGTTGGCGGTTGAGTCGGTGTTGAGTCATGCGACCTCTGCCTCTTTTTCTCTCCGCAGACTCGTTTGCCCGCCTGACCGGAGTTAGCTCTAGGAGCGTGCTTCTTAGTCTTTCAGATTCGTAATGTTCATGTTCAAAAACCCCCAGATACCAAATTTCGTCAAAATCAGAAGTTTTTTCGCATCCCCCTTAAGGTGTGCGCCCTTTCGTGGTAGGAATTTTTAAAAAGCCAGAAAAAAACAGAAAAGGCATACCCCAAAACCTCTTCAAAGACGTGCCACCAGTTTTTCTAACTCTTATGGTTGCTGAGAAAAAATTAAAGAATTCAAACTTCACCACTGTTTTAGGGTGACTCCCAAACGAAACACGTTGGAGCCAGGGTTGCCAAACGTTTTTAACGGGCGGGCCAAACGGACAATTCAGATATTTTCGGCGAGCCACTAACGCCGCTCCTTATTGTACTTGTACTTTTAGGACTAAATGCAATAAAAAATGCAATCTTTATTCAATATCCTTCTAGAAACAAGAGAGTCTACTGTTTCTCGGTCTTACGTATTCGTAAATAGCAGACGCGTTATCCATTCGGAAAACTCACCACTCACCAGCATTTTTGTACAAATTTGCTTTTCAAAAAAAAATTGAGAAGATAATCTTAAACCTACAAATAACCTAATGTCCAACTCCGATCAATTGGGATACGTATTTTTGTGAAAATATTTTTAAAAAAAGTTTGCATGCAAGAATCGAACCCCAACCGCTCGGTTGCAAGTTGAGATTTCTTCCCACTTATACCATTTTAGCATACATTTGTGATGAAACCGAATTAGCCCGTTAAAATTCGATTTAAATATTCCCGAAACCGACCCACGCGCGACGAAAAAAGTCAAGATTGCGCTTCGTTTCGTTTCCGTGGAACACGTCTTTTTTTTAATCTCTACGTCTAGTGCATCCATCTAATAATGATATGATCGTGTTCGATTATTTGCCAATTTAATGTTAATCTCAAACAGCATGATTATTGCCATTTATAACGCATTCTATATACAAATTGCACTTTTAATTATACTGGTCATACCTTGAATTAAATGCATAGAGATTCTACATAAATATGTTGTTTCCCAATTTACAGTACTCCTTTGTTCCAAGCGCTGGCAACATGAATTACTGACCCATTTACGTGTTTTTATTTATATTTAGATGCAGTATGTTCCCTAAGGGGCGATATTCAATACAAGTATGCAGAACTACATTTTAATTTATAATTGAATTTATTGCAGCACATTTCGCTTTTGTTTGCCTGAATATGTTACTGTGTATTTACAGGGTGCTTCATCTGGGGGCGAGTGACGTACGTTAGGTGGTTTTTTGTTACATATTGCACTTGGTATTGAGAATTAACTACTTAATACTAATGTTTGCCACGACATGTTCCTTTGTTTTGTTGTAATGTGATAGTACATAACGTTATGCTTCTACTATTTATTTGAACCGGGTGATTATGATTATTAATATTTGGCAGGGTGACTGTTTCGAATATTTACTGTGCTATATTTGATATTGATATTTGATACCGATATTTGGCCTGGGTACATCACACATTCGATCGTGATTATAACCTATCTACGAAGTGTCCCGCATAACTCACGAATGGTTTAGAATTTTCCAGTTCTGTTTTGAGTAAGACAATGGTCAAGGGACTAAGTGATTAAATGTTGGGGCATACTCGTAAACCGGAAGTGACTTTGTCGCTCGTTGTCTATATTGGTGCAGTTAGGCTAACATAAACTGCACCAATACAGACAACGAGCGACAAAGTTACTTCCGGTTGACGAATATTGACCAAAATTTAATCAATTACTTCCTTGACCATTGTCTACCTATTGCTAAACTAAAAGAATTCGAAACCGTTAGAGAGTTATCGTGTCCACAGACGGACGAAATACGCCATAAACACTACACATCAACAAATAACTGACGAGAACTTTTTTCTTCAACCTCTGTTAGTTCTATTATTGTAAAAGTTTCGTGCATTTTCACCAGGATCGTAGAAATAATCTTTATATCAACCTCATTGTGAACGCTGTGCAAAACAGTCTGCTAAACAGTCACGCTGCCGAAATGTCCCCCCGGCAAAGCGCGTAAATTTTGAAATTCCAAATCACATATTCTGAATTTCACTTCCTCTGTATGCCCGTACAGTAATTTTGTAAGTGTTTCAGATATTTCTTTGCATTCAGTCTCTGAGATCTGAGACAAGAAAACGATTGCGTGATCTCAACTACCTGAATTGTGAAAACAAATGCAAAAATCGTTACGCATAACTACACTGTCCAAAGGTTTTGGATGGATGCTACAGAAGTGAATTTTACATATTTTGATTTTTGTACGCAACAAATTTGGTAAATTTTCTAAAAATTTTCCGCGACCTGTTTTGAAAGAATGTGCAATTTAGAAACGATACACGAGTACATAGTGTGATAGGAGATAACGAGTTTTGGTGATTCCTCTGGCCCATTTTTCCCTTTAAAAGAGCAGCAGATATACATCCGTAAAATAATAATTTTCTATGTAGTTGTTTTTAAAAATTTCGTCTTAGCGTACAATTTAAGCCGATGTTGTTTTCTTTTGGATAAATTAGTCAAATTAGTTGCGGTCTGTGTAGATTTATAAGGATTCCGGGGTGGCCCAGAAAATATTAATTTTTTCTTGGGGATAACCACTGTTCTAACTGTCGACGGGGTTATCGTCCGAATTCCTTTAGGTAATTGGTTTTATTCCCAATTTTTGGGTGGGCTCGTGTATCTAATCTCTTAATGTAATTAAGCGATTTATAATCGCAACAGATTATGGTTGTATTTCTTATGTGTAGTAGGTGTATACGCGTATATTTCATGTTGATTGGTTCCAATCACGTTTTTTTTAATGGGCGGTAGGTACTCTATTAAGTAGACAAGTCACATAGTACTAAAATCTTTAGGTTTTAGAAAACACTAGAAATTCCATTTAAAGTAATGTCGTAACAGATATTGTCAGAGCACTGTACTTTTGAAAATAATAATAGATAATTTGAAGTAGTTATCTTTAATAGAAAAATATATGTCGCAATAATGTTATTGTTGCAACACGTAGCTGGATACGGAAGGATTTTGAGCACATGTGGGAAAATAACCCTCCTCTCAACACGTCAGTAAATATTTGCTTTTTGTGAGTATGAGATCTGATGATAGTACCAGAATCTTAATGACGAGGTCGCAAATGTCAACAAATATCGAAACATTATTACTTAGTAATCGGATTTATTATTCAGATGCAAGAAGTTAATCTTCCGTGCAGCTTGTAATTATATCGTGCAACAAAGCGATGTAAACGCTTTCGCTAGTTGAAAAGAGTATCTAGTACAGAAAATGGTCGTAATTGACGTGTCAAGGGTGTTTCCCGGAAATACACCGCAGATTATTGCAACAGTAACGGGTGAGTTGTTTTATTGGTTTTAGTTTTAGCTGGTAGCTAACAAATTACTGCAGGAACTCTGACTGCGTTATCCGATGGAATGCAATATGGATGGTCTGCACCTATTATACCTGTATTGCAATCACCTTCGTCTCCGGTACAAATAACAGATTCTGACATAGTGTGGATAGAAAACATATACTTATTGGGAGGGTTGGTTGGAATACCTCTCACAATGTACATCTTAGACAAATTTGGAAGGAAAAACACAATGCTAATTGCGTCGATGGAATATTTAGTTGCGTGGTTGTTGGTGGCATTCGCCTCATCGGTTGAAGTAATATTCGTAGCACGCTTTATAACTGGATTAGCGTCAGATACTAACTTTGTAGCAACTCCGGTGTATATAGCCGAAATATCCCAGAAAAAAATTAGGGGAAGATTAGGATCTCTCATATACATCATGATGCTGATGGGCGTGGTGCTGATCTACGCAATCGGACCATTCGTATCGATCGCAGCGTCATCCAGCGTCGGAGCAGGCATTATAGTTCTTCAATTGTTAACGTTCTCATTTATGCCGGAAAGCCCTTACTACCTCTTGGTGAAGAATAGAAAGGAAGAAGCCAGGCGAGCTTTACGAATACTACGGTCTTCTAAAGACGTGGAGGATGAGCTAAACGAAATCGCCGAGGTGGTAGAACAGGAAAATGAAGTACGTGGCCGACCTTTAGAATTGTTTACCGTCAAAAGTAATCGAAAGGCCATTACGATAATGACAGTGTTGGCATTTGCGCAACACTACAGCGGTATTAGCGTAATGTTGATGAATATTCACATGATTTTGGAAGATGCCGCAACGATTATCCCTGCAAGCACTGCGGCTATTATATTTTCCGTCCTGATGCTGCTCGCTTGCACCTTTTCTGCGCTTCTTATTGACAAAGTGGGTAGAAGGCTACTTTTATTCGTATCGAGCTTCCTCACTGCGGTGTCTCTACTGGCGCTCGCCACTTACTTTGCTGTTAAAGACAATGACGTCGACGTTAAAGATTATAATTGGGTGCCAGTAGTCGCAGTGATGGCTTTTGCGGTTACCTTCAAATGTGGCTTAGGATTAATTCCTATTGTAATGACAGCCGAACTGTTTCCCACCAATATTAAAGCGCTAGGTTGCACAGTATCAGACGCAATGTATGTATCCGCAGGCGCTTCGTCAATTTATCTGTTCCACTTTTTGCAAAGAAATTATGGTATGCATGTACCGTTCTTCCTTTTTGGATGCTCCTGCTTACTTGTTGGAATTTTCGCGATAGTTGTGATACCGGAAACGAAAGGAAAAACTTTGGACGAAATTCAAAGGTTACTCAAAGGGGAACCATTGTCGACAAGCTGTGCGAATGGAATTCATACGAATATATACGAGAAGGTGCCGCTACTGAGTTCATGTGACGATGTTGTTGAAAAGTCATATCGTGCCACTAAGATAGAAGAAGATCGACCGGTTTCCCCTCAATTGTCCAACTAAGGTTTTATTATCCCGTATAGACGTTTTGAAATACTATTTCATAGTGATGTTATTTATCTTTAAGTAAATTATGGACATAAAACAGCAATGTGATGTTCTAAAAAATAAAAAAGTGAATTTTAAGAGATTAAATTGTTTACATTACAAGCCTATTGTATTCATAAGGGGAGGTCGACCAAGCAGCACTCTTAGCTTGGTTGCTATTCGGTTTTAGAAGCTTAGAATATCCAGATCTGCCAAGGGGTCCGGTTAAAAAAGCACGCCCGCTTGCTTGTGGCCACTGAGTCTGGGATTGATTGGTCATCCAGTCTGTAAAACCGCAGTGCACTGCCTCCCAGATTAAGCGTACCCAGACTCACCTAATTTATTTAGAGTTCGCCTTCAATGAAGCGAGGCCGTAGCCAATCGGAACCTATCGGCTCACATGGCCCTCAGCGCCACCTGACTGTCACTTCATGTGTATATACGCTTATTAGCAGGCAGGATGGCCAACATCTCTGACTGAAACCATGGAGTGCTATGCTGACCAAGGGAGAAACTGATGTCAGCACTATATATATCCATGCCCGTTCCCCTTTCCGTTAGGGACCCGTCTGCAAACCGCACGAGCCCGTCAAGTTCGAGGGCCGGACAATCTGAGTTCATCCACTGCTCCTTGTCCGGGAAAGTGACTTTATAACTCTTTGGTATTAGTAAGACAGCTCGGATTACATCTCTTCTTGCGATGAAGGGATCGGATCTAAGGGTTTCCTCCCAGATCCTTTCGTGCTCAAGGCTGCCTCGGTCCTTCCACTCGTCCCTGTGCCTCCAAAGTTAAGTATAAGGGATCTAGTCCTAAAAGTGCCACCATGGTCAGAGTTCGCGTGATTTTCATGACTCCAGTGACTCCCATATGCAATGCGCATGGTAAGCCACCGTACAAGTGCACAGTACAGTATTATTGGCCTTATCACTACAGTGTAAATCCAATATACGCGTCGAGGGTTCAAGCCCCATGTACGTAGAGCCAAAATGCCCTTCCACAAACCCCATAGACTTAACGTGTCCTTTCCAGGTCCGGCGGGAGCCGATGATGACTCTAACATATTTCACTGACCTGGTCAGACCCAGTTGACGTTCTCGCAGAGTGAGTCCATTAGAATCCGCTCTCCTGCTAGTCATAAATGGAACAGTCTCGGTCTCATGACTACTACACTACCTATCCACCTGTTCAAGAGAAAGACAACATTCATCCGTGCGGACATCCTCTAATAACCGATGAGCTCATCACCATCGTCCCGATTGAGGGTATAATAACCCTGCTTCCGAGCAAGGCGCGGATCCATCTTACGATTGACCCACCAATGCCAAAGCCTTCAGCACCTTCACTAATAGAATCAAACTTGGCGTGGTGAAACGCACGCGCGATATCAAGAAACCCTCTCAGGGCCGTTTGCCCCGGGTCTTTCAAAACGATCTAACGAAGTTTTTGAAACTTCAGCAACACCCTCTATGTTACCACATAAGGTCCTCCATGATCCTCGTTTAGACCTCCGAATATGGCCCTTATACCTGCGCTGAGCGTTTTTAAGATGCTTCCAGTCCGCAGGTAGCCTAGTTCGCATCACTATTAAAGAGCCTGCAAACCTCCTTACGAACCTTTTCAAGGTATGAGCTCCACCAGGGTGTTCTCTTCATTCTTCGAAAGGTCCGTAGTTTACAGCTGTCCTCATATATCGCTGTTATGGTGTCGCTTACTAATGTGGCCGCCTCTTCCACCTGCCCTGTTTTCCGACAGAGTAAAAGTAGCTCATCCAACCGCTGTAACAGTTTGGCCACATAGCATTCCGGAGATGGCGGCTCATCAGACACCCTCTTACTTGTGATCATGTGAGCTATTGGATAGGAGCCCAACGTCACATTTATAACCTCTGCTGCTCCCTGATTTAAAATTTTCAAATCAATTGCTTGGAAGTACTCTAGAAGGTGGTTGGTTTCGATGGCGCCCCACGCAACGTGGTGTGCGCTTTCCAAGAGGAAACCCGCTATTTCGACAATACTCTATCAACTCAGCCAGCTCCCTGGTGGGTAGAGCCTCTTCCGAGTCGTACGGGAGATGCTGAACGATCACCAAGTGCCTACTACGTCCTCTGCAATCTTTTAGCTGAACTCTTAGAGCAACGAGAAACAGAAATCAGTCATTAGATAAGACTCGATTCGTCTATCGGCATAAATGCAATTCACTTAGCTGTCGCTCTTGTAATAAAGAGAGTCCGCGATCTGGGCCAAATCTCTTACGCGTCCCCTGTAAACCCAAGGTTCTTGGGTTACGGTGTTGCAAAAAGGTTTGTAAGCAGATTTCCCATTTGTTTGTTACAATTGATTAATTCAATTCTTGTTTTGGTGTTGTCTGTTCTTCTCCTTGATCACTTTCCACAAATTTTCCCTTATTAAAAACAGCTCCATTTTAAACATTCAATTTGAATAATTGGGGTGCACGTAGTGAGTAATAACAACGTAAACAAACAAGTTCTAGGTCAAAAACCAAAATGGTTTTGATAATCGATTGAGATAACCGAAAACTCAAATTCAATAAGAACAATGACCTGGTCGTAGAACCTAAAAATGGTTTCCAGAGTTGGTTTAGGTTTAGGCATGATCGCTAATAGCATAGTAAACAAAACTTATAGGTACTCTTGAAAAAAACTTTTAAAGATTGAAAACAGAAATGTCGAAGATGTCCGAACTGTAAGACTGTAACCAAAGAGTACCCTTGCTGTAACCTAAACAATTTCCAAAACCATGACAAAAAATGAGATGGTTCCAAAATCGGAAATGGTTTGGAACAGACCAATTGCACGTGGTGAAAATTAAAATGAAAAGAAAAGCTTGGGACGTCAATAGTCAAGTCCATTGCGTAAAATTACTGTCTCTATCGATCGTATAAGATTCAATTAATGATCCATGCAGAGGTGAAGATCACTCGCCTTTTTATTCATAATGTAACTGTTCGCAGAATGTATGACGAGCACATAGCATTGCAAAGCGTTCATTACATCAATATTCAATAATGATGTGGTTGGTTAACATTCAATGAATTTGTCAGAAATCCATAAAACGCAACAATTAAGATGTGTCACTGCACTTGTTTATTATGATCTCATTCTTAATTTCAATGAAATGGTCGTGACTGAAGTATCGAAAGTGCCCTCTGGGAATGCCGTTCAAATTATGGCTACAGTAATGGGTGAGTAAAAGCATTAACCATACCTCAAATTGCATGAATAGACATGGATGACTATTCATTTATTATACTCGAACTTTAACCTGTTGATAAAACTATTTTCAAGTTCTCTATTATTTGTGTGTTTTAAGTGACGTTACGAATGCGGTTCAAAGATCCAATTTCTTATTTAGAGAACGCATTGTAATTTCGGAAACTAGCAGAAAGAGACGAATGGGAAAAGAATTGCAGTTTTACAATTTAAATTTAACGCGCTTCCAGTATTTCTGAAAAGCTGGGCTGTATAGATTTGTGATTAATTGCATTAATATAGACAACGAGCGACAAGGTTACTTCCGGTTGACGAATATTGCCCAAAATTTAATCAGTTGGTCCCTTAACCATTGTCTACATAATTGCTGAAAACAGAATTGGAAAATTCTGAACCGTTCGTGGTTATCATGCACACAGACGGCCAGTAGAAAGTCCAAAATAATGAACTTGCTCTTTGTCGTTCGTTGATAAGTAAAAAACAAAGCTGAATATGTAAGTATATTTAAATCTGAATACGGTGCCATCGATTCTTAGACATTAGCTAGCAGTGACGGGCCCTCTGGCAAACATTTTTGTGAACCCCCTTACATTTTTATTTTAATATGGTCGACAGGGTTGCGATACAAAACAGAGCGAAGTAAATTACTTGGTTCCACTAGAGGCATGTGTGCATGATTAGACACATATTCGTCGCATGTGAAAGTTATGCACATTTTATATTCCAAAACAGCCTCCCCCCCCCCTCTTCTTAAGACAAACGAATTTGAAGAACGTTTGCTATGCCATTAAAGTATATGCTACAAGTAGTCCAAAACGGCAGAATTGGGCCCGGAGGAGGGAAAGATGCATGCAAAAACCAAACATTAAAGCAATAGTACATTTTTTTAATTTAAAACAAATGATGAATTTATCCAAGACCGTTTTGGCAGTATAGGGTGAACTAATTTTAGTTTGTCCTTTATGGTTTTTTTACTCTACTCCCATTTTGTTGATTTTCAAAAAGCATAGTAGTCACTTAATTGTCGGTTGTTCGGCGCCTTTTATAATCGATCGAAATCTCTGCAACGGAATAAATTTTTTGGGGTTTTCGGTATTATATTCTTACTATCGTGTTATTCCTGCATCGGTAAGTAATTAGATTTAAGAGGCGATTCCCTAGATCATCTCTAGAACTCTAGAATTTTATATATTCTTCGTAGTCGGTCCGTACTAGACAAAGTTAAAAAGCTGTGGGAATTGCTTAGAATGCTCCCAGAAAATGACTGTAACAGTTTGTAAAGGGTCTGAAATCCTCTGTAAAAGTCTAAAAAAGTATCAGTGACATAAAAAGCTTTATAAACGACCTAAAGTGTGCTCAGAGAGAGAGATAGAATGCCCTGCAATATAGGACTATAGCATCTTGTAAGGGGCATACAAAGTCCAGCAAATGACCTTGGGGTCTAGGACGAATACGAAAGCTCTCTCGAATGCTTTGGAAAAGGTTTAGAAGTTTCATAAAAATACTTTTAATGCACTCTGAATTGCGGCCTTCTATGGCGAACTTTTTAGGTTATTCCCAAAGCAAGGACTAACATTTTCTAGTAAGTGTTTATAAACCTTTACATAGGACCTCAAATTTAAAACTGAAAAGCGCATTTACAGCTCAGAAAAGGTCACTACACGGAGTTCTGAAACAGCTTTTTGGGGGCAGTAGATGGCTTACGGAAAGCCTCAGACTGTCTTTTAATGTTTTTCGGAGTGTTCAAGAAGAAAGCGCCAAGCCGTTCTTGATATTTTTTAAGTTTTGACTCAAATCGCCTTGCAATTGGAGACCCCCGAGAAAATTTCGAAGATAACGACTCGTTGGGGTTGTTGTCGTGTTGTTATTGGCCATGAAACTTTCGCTACTTGGTGCTACTTTTTTTAACTAGAACAAAATTTTAGTGACAAACAGTCAAATATTTCCTAGATTCTTCCTTGGAAACTAAATGATCCTTTGATTTGAAAAAATATGTCCTGGTTATGATAATTTTCGAGACGACGCGAGGACGCGAAGGTGAAACATTTATCGCTATGTTCGAAACTTTATACTTTTTTTCACTTCTACCAAAAGGACACTAATTTTGAACTTCCGTAAGTATCAGAAATTACGATTGCCTGTCAAAAAGTGAGCTTTATACGATCATTTCTGATTCATTCTGATCAGAATCGCGATGTCTAATTTTTTATTGGTTAACGTCTTTTGTTACTGCCAATCCTTGATGTCCCGCGCAACTAAAACTACAGATTCGGATGTTTTCAACCACAAGATTTTTTGACACACATCCTTAGAAAGGCAATATGATACCTCTCATTAAAAAGGATGCAATTTGAGGTATACTCCCGCAATCTTAACGCCAAAAGTATAAAGAACAAAACCACATTCTTGGTTGACCGCAATCATCATTCATTCAGATAAATTCTTTACATTATCACATCTAAAATTGTTTGGAAAGACACTTCAGAAACCTAATGCTCTCGTTAAAGCTTAACAGTGACATTTCTAGTATGAAATCTGCTATTGGTGAATCTTAAATACAATTGTGCACATTTTTTAATCCGGAAATCTACCAAATAATCAAGAAATCTATAGTTTCAAGAAGACAAATGCCAAATGTACATTCAGTGTACCTACTCCACTAGGTCTGGACGTATCTATGCAATCTGGACATCCGTTGAATGTTGGGTTTGATAAACGTGATATTCTATGAACTTACGTCCAATACACTTAAAATGAGCATGATGTGCCTAAGAAACTTATGTATGTAGTCATACGTATCACGTGGTCACATAACATGTCAGAATAATTTATAACCAACACAAGCGAAACTTTTACCAAAAATCACCAACAAACAAAGATATTTCAAAAATTCATACGTTTGGGGCTAATTTGGTAACTTCATCTTGGAAGCATACCGCCGATGTCTATAAAATGGCGTCGTTTCATGATCCTATTGTCTGTTCACTTTCACGTAGATAACTACATAGGACTCACTCTCCACTTAAATTTTGATTTGGTAGTTCACAAATATGTCTGGTGGGCTACCAACGTGCTCAGGATCAGTTCAAACCAGCCGATAAATGTAGCCAATCTTGAACCATTGTTGATGTTATGAAATTTAATGCAATTACTTATTTAATTATTTTGAACTGTTGGTGTTCTCTGAGAGGTGCTCAAGGACAGTCTCCTTTGATAAAAATGATTTCGTGATGCTGTCAGCAAAATATTCTTGGTTAACTAATTCTCCACACCAAAGTTTTACAATGTTGGCATATGAACCACACACAAGTTGCTGATGCGTCATATAGGTACACACTAACCAATTTGTTGCTAAAAAAGGAGTTTATTAATCAGCCTTATTAAACGCCCTACAGACAGTAGGTACGATATTTGTCGAACGACTTATCGTACCGTCTGTAGGGCATTTTACTCCAACGCAACCAAGCCAATGACATGTAGTACTAGGGGTCAGGGTCGGATTTAGTGTTGTTGAGCTGAAACTCCTCTTGTGCAGATCGTAGTATTGTACAATAGACACTTCACTTCATCTGACCGCGCAAAATGGTTTATTTCATTAGGCGTATGAATCATTAGTCGTAACATGCATCACCCACCACCCCCTAGACGCTTAGTGACCAATCACGAGTGATATTTTATATCTCTCTGACACAGGAAAGTGAACCCGATTGCCTTGGTATGGACTACAGCGGTTCGAATTTCACTGCACTCATTACAATTTGTGATTAATTTAATTGATATTCCAATGTCCATTCACGAGTAGCCACTTTTGTCGATTTCTTCATGTTGTGTATTTACTACTCTATTTTTACATTGCAGGCGTGAAATAAAGATAATGTACTGCGATATATACAATGAAAAACGTAAATAATCGTGGCATTTGCAAGACTCATGTGATGGCAACGTTATCAGAAGAAGAATAATATTGAGGTCAATGGCGATAGTAGCTGATAATTATTAGGTAAAGTCTGTTTTGACAAAGATCCCCAATTCGGCTTAGTTTCCAATTTTCCTCATACCGAAGCGCATCACAATATCATCACATCATGGTATCGGTTGGCGTGTGAAGCTGAAGTTCACATTTCTTTGTATATTAGTGATAAAATGGTTGTAGTCGATATATCTAAGGTATTCCCCGGAAGAATTCCACAAATTCTTGCTACAGTGACGGGTAAGTGTTCATTGTAAAGAGATAACCCTAAATATTTGGAAATGTGCATAATCTTCAACGGTTTTGCCATTTCCCAATCTCGTGTTTTCAGCATGTGAAACTAATTTGCCTTTAAAATATGTGTAGGGTTCATCGGCGTTTAATTTTTAAGCACAGAAATTGTTGTATCTCATAGACAGATAAAAATAACTATTAATTGATGGGTCACATAAACAACAGGCCATAACAATTTCTGCCGCTTGTTAAATGTATATACTCAAACAGTATTTATTTTCTAGGAACTTTAACGGCGCTATCCGATGGAATGCAATACGGATGGTCAGCGCCAATTATACCTCTTCTACAACAACCCTCATCGCCCGTAAAAATCACAAATTCGGATATAGTATGGATAGAAAACACGTTTATGTTGGGTGGTTTGGCCGGAATACCACTAACAATTTACTTATTGGACAAGTTGGGTCGGAAAAACTCAATGCTAATCGCGGCCGTGGAAAACCTGATCGCGTGGTTGCTGCTGATATTCGCCTCGTCAAGTGAAGTTATCTTGGTGGCCCGCTTCCTCACGGGGTTCGCGGGCGATTGTAACTTTGTCGCCACCCCCATGTATATCGCGGAGATAGCCGACAAGAAAATACGCGGAAGACTAGGCGCACTGATATTTATAATGATGCTGATGGGCATTTTACTTATTTACTCCATTGGACCATTCATTTCCATCGCGGCTTCGTCGAGTGTTGGTGCGGCGGTGATAATCACGCAATTGTTAACTTTTTCGTTTATGCCCGAAAGCCCCTATTACCTTTTGGTGAAAAACAGAAAGGAAGAAGCTAGGCAAGCGCTGCGGATCCTGCGCGGTACTGAAGATGTTGACCAGGAACTGGAAGAGATTGCGCAAGCAGTGGAGGAGGAAAACAGGGCACGTGGGAGACCGCTTGAACTGTTTACCGTGAAAAGTAACCGAAAAGCGATAATAATAATGTCTGTACTTAACTTTGCGCAACATTTTAGTGGCGTTAGTGTTATACTAATGAACCTCCACATGATTCTGGAGGATGCTGCTACGAACATTCCACCAAGCATAATCGCCATTATATTTTCCGTTTTAATGTTATTCGCCAGTGGTCTTTCTGCCCTTCTTATCGATAGTCTCGGGCGGAAGATATTGTTGTACACGTCATGTTTCTTAACTGCCGTTACATTGTTATTGTTAGCGACTTATTTCGCGTGCAAGAATAACGACGTGAACATGGAGGCGTATAGCTGGGTGCCGGCGGTTGCGGTAATATCCTACGCAATAACATTCAAGTGTGGTTTAGGACTGATACCAATCGTTTTGACCGCCGAACTGTTCCCAACAAATGTTAAGGCGTTAGGATGCACAGTATCCGACGCCATGTATATAATTGGAAGCGTTTCGTCCATTTATGCGTTCCACTTTTTACATATGAATTACGGGATGCACGTTCCGTTTTTCCTTTTCGGTTGTGCGTGTTTACTAACTGGAATTTTTTCTCTGCTTATCATTCCAGAAACTAAAGGCAAGACATTGGACGAAATTCAAAAGTTGCTGAAAGGGGAAGAGTCTGCTGTAAATGGTGCTTGTGTCAGCGATGCGGATAGCGAAACAATTCCTCTACTGAGTTGACGAGGTTGAGTCATTTCGTGACGATTTACGATAATGTTCCGTATACTTACCAAAGAATATACACAACAATTCACACTTATGTTAATAGCTTCTATTGCAGTATTGTGAATTTAGTTTAATCAGAGTTTTAAATAAAATAACTATTGTAACTAGTCGTACAGTAGACGAGCAGACTAATTCTTCGCTGACCTTCTATAGGTGAACATTTAAAGCTGAACATCGTGTTTGACCCACCCTGTATACGCTTTGCCTCAATTGCATTAAGATGTTCCCAGTCTGAAGCTGTATCTTTTAGGAGAGACCAGTAGAATGTTCAATTTTTGATGGGATGTTAAAGTCCAAAAACATTGAAGTATGACCAATTTTAATCATTTCGATGACCCATGAAATGAACATGACCTGTTGTATCAACCAAGATACTGAATTAGCTTGATTTTCTTGTTTTTTGTCGTGAATTTCAAATCTTTTGAGTTGATCAAAAATTTCACATAAACATTTTTGTCACAAGTTTTATAATTAAACAAATACATCTCATTTTTAGAAGTTTTTCAAATTCTTTAAGTCAACAGAAAAACATTATCCATTTAACTTGCCTATTCTTAATCTTTACGACAATCTCTAGAATCACTAGCTCTAGGGACACTCTGTACAGGATCTCAAACGAAATGGCTAATTTCGAATAGTTAAAATCACTGCAAAGTTGGGGAGGGGGGTTGGTAATTACCACCAGTGAGTAATTGCCTTAGATCATACAATTTATTTATTTATTATCCCTCTCTTGTTCTGGGTCCTCAACAGGCTTGCGCCCAATTACAGAGTGACCCTCATAATGCTTTTTTTAGAGGTGCCTCTGCAGAGGTCTTAAGTTGTTCTATACTACTCCGGAATTAGGAAAACCTAATTCGGAGTAGCCGACAGAATGCTCGAAACTGGTCTAAGGTAATTCCCATTTCTGCCACAGATGAAAAATTCACCTCAACCCAGGTTCGAACACCCGACCTCCGGATTTATAGTCCAACGCTCTACCACTGAACCATAAGGCCGGTGAATGTTCTGTCTGGTAGCTGCTGAAGTGGGGAGAAGTGCAGCCAACTCGAACAATGAATATATAGGATGCTTTGAGTGGCCTGCGAGTAACACTGGCAACGAAAAAATAAATAAATTCATTTGGAACCTACAATCTGGTGTAGCAGTGACTGAATGAGAAGAAGAACCCGTTGAAGTGGGGATGGAAGATTGTCGAACACCTGAGAGTAATTATAACAGCACATCCTGCAGCTCCCCTTGAATTACTATCCCTCATAGCGGAAGCCTCTTTAAAAAATGGCCCCCCCTTGAGCAGGTGGTAAGGTTTGTCGTACCTTTGAGGGATTATCAGTAACATACCACGAGCCACTAAAGCGCAATTTGTTTTAACAAAAAAATTAGTTTCCTTAGTGATAATCTCATATTTTTTCCAAGCATTTCTAAAAACAAGACGAAACATTTCTACTGTTACGCCCTCTGTAACTCTGGAACGGTTTACTTTAGCAAAATTCTATATGAGGCTATTCGCAATTTACTGTAGATCATTTTTTAATACGGTACTTTTCGTGCTAAACCGTATAGTTTTCTAAATATTTCAGAAAAACTAATCGAAAATACTAATTTTCTAACTTTCCTCTCCCCTCCCGCCCAAACCCGATGCTTAAAATGGTGTAACTTTCTACCAAACAATCTGTGGACTGTATAGAACAATCTGCATTAGGACGGAAACTTTTACTTTGGATGTTGAGGTTTGGGTCTAATTGCACTGTACTAATAGGCCTATATAATACCTAATTGTTCAATATGTTTGCCTTCATTATGGTTACAATAACTTTGCATTAACCTATACATAAAGCAATGTTTCGATTGCTGGCCCGTGTGGCGCAGTTCAGTTAAAGCTGGACTGTGGTGCTAAGGGTCCCTGGTTCGAATCCGGGTTCGGGCATCGATATTTGTAAATGTATAGTGGGTTGGGTTGGTGGAGCAGCCTTGGTTGCAACCCCGCTGACTCAAAAATAAAGGCAAAATAAAATAAAATAAATAAATTAGTGATGGGTGATAAATGAAATTGTTATCGATTTATCGATGTCTGTTTAGTCCGATAATTATCGATTTCATTATAATTTTATTTAGAAATTCTTTAAGATTATTCCCTTACATTTTTTCTAGAACTAGACAAGATATAATTATCGATAACTTTCGATAATAATCGACAATTATCGATTATAATCGATAAATAACCATAACTTTCGATAATAATCGATAAAGTGTGATAATCATCGATAATTTTTTATAATTATCGATAACTTTTGATAATAACCAATAATGATTGTTGTCTTTCGATGATAATGTATTATTATTTACATTACATCATCCATGCGTACATTCGCTAACATTTTTGATTTTTTGGTAATGGTATTGCGAGAAATAATTTAAATAAAAACAGGATCTTTTGAAAAATATTTCTGAAATCAAAGGTGATAAAGTGGACGATAATCCTCAAAAATTAGTAGAGAAGTAGGTTGTGAATTGTGATCATGGTAACTCCACAATGCTCTTACTTGATCGCTTTGTTTCAAGTAAACTGCGATAAACATTGAAAATGGACTTCTCAAGTTTATGTCGTTAAAAATTCTCTCGATAATTATCTATCTTCTTAGTTTAATTGCGAGATTAATCGGTAGATTATCGGTAATTATATATTTATCGACCAATCCTTTAAAATTGTCGATAAATTATCGATTAGTCGACCATTTTTTAAAAATGTATCGATGATAAGTTATCGATTAATCGTTTTTTGAAAACTTTAATTGAGTTTATGCGGTGTAAAATGTATAAATAATTTTGTTTAACTAGGCGCAATTACCCCTCACTCCCCTAATTATCTAAATGCATGGGCCGACCGAGGCCTAAGGGGGCCCTGGGCATAGAGGAAATACAATATATGCCCTGGGTTAATATTTTCAGGGGTCCCTACTTACATGTTGGGTTTTCAAAAAACTATGTTTATCATTTCTTTAGAAAAACTCGCTGATCTATTTTTAGAACTAAGCCTGTGAACTGAAAGTCATAGTGACATTGACCTTCAACACGCCACCCGCTGGCTTGGGGTGAGTAGAGTAGCACATAGCAGGTGCACGGCGATTACATGAAAATGGAATAAGGCTTTGAGGTTTTGAGTTTTCAAGTTTTTTAGAGCATTTTCTCGAAAGAAGTTCTCCTTATGTGATGGTTTTGTCCGCCCGTCTGTTCGTCTGTTCCTCGTCTAACTTGAGAACCAAAAGAGATAGTGATGCCAAATCTTCTCCAATCACTGTCTACGAGTTCAAGGATCAGTGGTATTGAATATGAGCCACATAAAAAGTGTCAAAAAAATCCCCTATTGAAAATCGTATGCGCGTATCTTGTCTTTCTTTTGGAGCTCGGATTGCACGGAACTCGATTACTGCGACCTTACTATAATTAATAAATATAACATTTGAATGTTTGGTGCGCTATTGCAGCCACTTTCTCTGCCCGTCCGTCTGTCCGGGGCCTTAACTGTACACCTACAGTTTTCAAGATATTAAGTTCGTTCTTTTTGCATTCGGTAGCGTCTGTCACCTGAGCCAAGGAAAATCTTGACAATTAAACTGTGCATGCGCAGACTGCGCAATGTCAACTTCCTTATTTATTAATATATTTTGTTGAAATTCTAACCACAGATATTTCTGGTGAAGACAAACATATCGCATATAGTAAAAATCAAATGTGCACATGCGCAGAGGCAACTTCTTATTTATGGAGATATTTCTTTGAAATTTTAACCAAAGTTGCTTTTAGTGTAAGCAAACGTATCGCTTATTGTACACATCAGTTTAATGCGCAGGATGCGCAATATCAACTGTTATTTATCGAGATACCTTTTTAAAATTTTAATCACAGATGCTTCTGTTAAAGGCAAACATAACTGATATTGCAAAAATTAGAAGTGCGTATGCGCAGTCAGTGCCAACTTCTTTATTTATCAAGATATTTCTTTGAAATTTTAACCATAGATGCTTCTAGTAAAGAAAAACATATCACATGTAGTAAAAATCGAAAACTACAAATGTCATTAGGAAAAGCAAACATATCGCACATAGTAAAAATCAAATCCACAATATCCTTGCCCTGCATCGGACTCCCGTTACGGGTTTTTTTATTTGCCCTTCGTTGCTGTCGTTATCGTTATTATAGCTCATTGTCATATGTTTGTGTGACACTTTTGTTAGTCCAGCCAGTCTTTATGAATTTCCCCCAACGACGAGATTTGACAGGGTTGCTAGGAATTATCGCGGGTAAATACACAAGAGCTTGATTTTTAATCGGATAATTTTATTTTTACACGAAAGTTTTGTCGCGATTTTATCATATGCTTTTGATTTGATCGAGAGTGTTCCAGGAGGCAACCAAATTTGAGTGAATTAAAAATAAAATTATCCTGATTTAAAACCAAGGTCGAGTGTATTTTAGGGAGATGAATAAAGGACAGTAAATTTTACAACCACTATATTTTACGCATTCCTACGCGCATTTTTATCGTTGATAAAAAGCTACCTAGCTTTTAATCAGATAAAAAATCATCTGATTGGTTAGAATTTGAAACAATCACCAAGCTGATTGGTCGTATATTAATGGAGTGTATATTAATCAGTGACAATAAATGTAATCATAGCATCGCATAGATGAACCAATCCGGAATTATTGTAAAACCGCTGTGCAGCGAACGTAGGTTGGTGCTACAGCACTTGGTGTTAAAATTTCTGACAGACTCAAGACTCAAGCAAAAACATTGCAAGTATTGCAACAGGAAGCCAGCCATAAATTATGACATTTCGTCATACGTCATACAACATTACAGTTAATTTTCGTTAGCAACCAACCGACAATAATACGTTAAAAAGATCATCGCTCTGATAGAAATGTATTGAATAACCTTTTGAAAGATCAGAGATCTCAACAAATTGATAACGATTATACAAAATAATGAATCCAGACAGATTGTTCCATATCACTCTGAATACTATTAATAATTTGAGTTATCTACGTTATAATGATGTTGCAATGGGCATTATTATTAAAACATCGTTACAAAGTTTGCATTAAAGTGAATAAGTGAGTAAGATACAAATTTTAAAAATTTCGTAAACTCCCCAATGTCAAGTTAACAGATTGCACACAGGACCGGATTGGCCATAATTGTTTAACTGCATTGCGATTTTATAGCCTTCAAATATACATGGGCGTATCATTTATTAGGTGCATACGAAATTGGTCAGTTCCGAAAGCTAATATTTTCACGAAGTGGTAAAACCATATCGACCATCTCGGCCAGTCCGGCCCTGACGGCCTATTCATATTTAAAGTAGTAAGTAGTTATGATATTAAAGAATGTGTCAATTTTGTGATAAGTAACGATATATGAGGTCCATCTAATACAAGCACAAATTATTTCCCTATTTTTGAAATGGTTGTGCTTGACGTGTCCAAGGTACTCCCCGGGAACGGTCCTCAAATTTTGGCTACTGTAACAGGTGAGTAATTTATTGCATTAGATACTTTCGTTCGTATAATTTCCCCTATTGCATACTGATAAATATCTTTAAAGGAAAATTTCATTCGAAAATAATTTGTTTGTCACAGAAAGAAAGTTATAGGGATTTTCCGGGCCACCTATAGTGAACGATTCAAAAGAATTAATTGTTTTTTACTACTTGCAACTTCATTTTAAATTAAGTCACACAAAACATCCATATTAGTGTGATGAAACATTTATGAACGATCTCATACAAGACCATTTTTACACGCAATAATAATTTTAAATTTCTCGTACACGCTCACCTTCCTTTACTAATTAATCCAACCAACGGAACTATAAAATTAGGCGTTCTCCTTTTCAATGCAACGGAACTATAAAATTTCACATTATAATTGGAAATTTGACCCCCAAATTTCGATTTATAACTCGAAATTTTACCTCAAAACTTCAAGATATAAAATTTCGCCTTATAACTTGAAATTTTATTTTATTTTAAATTGTTTCGGCTCATATCCCGAAAGGTTAAAATTTCGAGATTTAATTGTGGGTTTATACAATCATTATGATTAGTTTCCTATCATTAGGTCATTATAAAATAGCCAATAGGGACAAAGGTATGGTTTCGTTCCTTAGCGACGCACAGTAAACCTTTGTTCCTATTGGCTATTTGTTAATTATCTAATAATAGTGAACTAATGATAATAATTTTATAAACCCACCATAAGTCAAAATTTTGGAACGGTAGCAACGGTTTGGCGGGTCGGTCGCGGTAGCTTCGGATAAACGCAACCGGATAAACGGCAGCCAGGAATCAGACGGGTTCAGAAGATGGCGGCGGTCACTTCGGAAAAACTAAAACAAAATGGACACTAGTTTTACTTTTATTCGAAGTGTCTACATATGAAACTTTTTTTGTGCTTTCACTTTGAGGAAAATACGTTAAAAAAGCTCACCTTGAAGTTAACGGAGCTGTAGCCAAAAGTTGCTAAAAGCCAATTCCAATGAATACGTTGCGGTAACTTAATACAAAAGCAAAATAAAACGGCACGGATGCAATATGAATTCACGACAATGATACAGATTAATACGGTACTTACAAATAGAATTGGCATAAGTGCAAAAGCAAAAAATTAACTTAGGTACTATTTTGTTAAACGCCAAAAGCAAAAAATCTAAATACGTTACTGTTGCAAAAGTAAATTTACGGCAAAGCTAAAAATTTCGGTACCTACAAAACGTAACGGCAAAGATGCAAAACCAAAATGATTCAAATTCCTAGTGCATTTTCTATTTATCAAGACGAGATAAGGCTCAATTGGACGGGTTCTTCTGTAGCTCATTTAATTATACTTATCCAATTAGTCGGAATGAAATCTCCAAATTCGGTATCCCAATTACCACCCATTGTTAATTGGAATTCGCAGGTCAAACGGCCAGACCATCGATATCACCTGGTATCTACGAAACCTTCACGACCTTACCGTTCCAATGCTCGCTTTAAATTTACCACATACCGACATACCGGCGGTCGGTAAATCATGATTTTTATGCAGTATACGCGGTTCCGGTTCGGCAACACAAAGTTTCTACGGATGAGTAACGGATTCATCTTTAACTCGTTAGAATGAAAGTGACGGTACAAATTATTATTATTACGGATACAATAGTCCGGTACGATATCGGTTCTGTTATAATTCGGTTTCTTCGATGGCTGTTAGTGGTGTGGTGTAATGCATTGCGGAAAAATGGGAATAACTCGAGAAACAAGACAATTGCCAAGGAATAAATTGCCGGTTTTCATGTTGAAATGGAGGTGGGTTCTGGAAAGAAAACCTATTCCAAGAACCGAGACCTGTGGCATGATAGACTAAATTCGAAACTTCTGTTTTCGGGATGGTGATCGGAGCAATATACCTAAGCACTAGGATATTTACGGGATGGTTGGTAAAGCTCTTGGACTGTTTACGCTTCGGCGGTCGGACGAAAGTAGCAACATGTTTGTGAATGTGAACTTTACTAAACAGACTGGGGTGGGGGTCCGTACCTGTATCGCAGCAGCCGATGGAGAAGTCTCAACTGAATTTCGGATGGGACGGTTGGGGGGATAATTTTGGGTCTGACACCCACACTCTCGGGATATTACTCCTCGTCTACCACAGCCAAGAACAAAAGCCAATCGATTGGTTACGACATCGGGATTTTCACTGCCAAGTTTGGCCACACCTCCAGCAAATTAGAGCCTCGTCTGACTGCAGATTGACTGGTTGCAGGCGGTTTGGAAGTCCAGTTCCGGGAGGGGTATTCATTTGCCTCGGATTGGGCTGAAAAGAAACCCTCAGCCTTCGGTTTTGAGTGGAAACTGGTTCGGTCTATATCGATACGGAGCAGCGGCTGTTGTTCACATATTATTCAACAATCATTATAAATAAACTTTTGTATAAAACATTTTTTGTATCACTTTTAACTAAGAAAAATAAGGTCGTTCTGAAATTGACAATTTGTTGATTTTCCCCCGTATCTTTTGTTTTCAAATTTTGATTTTACCATTTAAGTTTCACTTAAAAAGAGGACGCTTATTTAACGTCTTTGATAGCACTAACAATTTACCCTATACCCTATAAAAGTGTAGAAAATGGGTCACCCTGTACCAGTCTTTATATGATTTTATTAGGTATATATTGTTATATTGATTCGATTAACCGTTTATACCGTGGAGAAAGCACCTAACACAGTTACGATTCTTCGTCTGTATCTGTTGCTTTCCCGTTTCGTGCCGACTGCAGATCTTGTGCGTAAGTAATACGAGAAGGACGCACAAATTTTAGTTCTATTCAATTTCCTTAATGACGGTGTCTTGAAAGTGGAGAGGACATCTGTCATTGTGATGTCGAAGGTACATAACCTTGCTTGTAATTTTTCCCAAAGTGCTCAATTGTAAGTGTAAGGCAAGTTTCGATTGTTTTCTTAAGCGTTGAAAAATATTGTTTCCGTTGTTTTGAAAGTCGTTCTAATATTCGAAAATGCGCAAAAAACGGAAAGAAACTTGATTCGGTTCGAAGGATCAACATCATCGAAGTAAATCTAACTGTTTTAGAGAAAGTTATATTTTAAACAATAAAGTGTTCTCCCTCTGATCACTACATCTTATAAGTATCTAAATTATTCAACAAAGACGATTTAATAACTGTTTACTGAGAGAATTTCCTCATCTTCACAGTATATAGGGTAACTCACTCTTATTCCATCATCAACTAGTAAGAGTGCTTTGGTTCTGTAATCGAAAGTTACCATGCTGATTCCACCCGTCTGATGCATTCCATTCACATTCACTTTGGTGGTTATATTCGAACGCAAATCGATTGCCAAATGTATTTTTAAGGTATGTGTTGGAGTAAACTCTAAAGTGTACATTTTTCCAGATATAACAAACACGTCAACTAGTCCGTTATGTTGTAGACTAATTTCCCACATGCCTTCGATGGTCAAGGTTTCGTGATTAATCTAAAACAAATTCGTACTAGCGGCACAATAATACAGAATACTACTTTGGCAATAGCGATATGTCCGCTTTCCCAAATTGAATAAATGACCCAGAGTCCATTTTTATCTACACTGAAATCAAAAGAGTTAAAATTGCGTAAATATAAACGTCCTAGTTTCGGAAGATCGGGAATTATAAGAGTTTGGGTCTTTTCATTTTTCAAATCGTATTTAACTATCTTTGGTTTGCTTCCTTTCATTTTGTAGAAGAAGAAGCCACGGTAAATTACATGCGCATTTCCTTCAAAAGCCACGTCCAGATCGTACACCCTGAAATCTGATTATGTTACGACATTACGTAAAGCTGCAAAAACACATACTTTGACGGTTCATTTTTTATGAATAGTTGTATATTATCAAACTCGTTCAATCTGAGGTCGTCTCTTCCAGTTGACCAAAATTTGAACGCTTCCTCTTCGCTTATAGGTCTAGAATCTAGCATAAATGCAGCGTATTGGTCGTCCACATTTCCCAATACTTGCCTTTCGCCAATTATAAACGAGGAACATTCTGTGAAGCAGAAATTATTTTAGTAGTTCTGCTTATCCTACCACTACCTGTTGCGTTTGTTTTAAACGCCGTAGATTTTTCTGTTCTTAATGTTTGGATTGTGATCCTTTCGGCGTAACTGTTTTCGCACGAATTGCATGGACCTACCATATAAGTTTGTTGAATATTGCAGTTAATATAAGGAGATGGTACCTGGTAATCCTCTTGGTCCCAATAGGCCGTCCTTTCCCTGTAAACCGGGGGGACCTTGAGGACCAATGCTACCCTTTTCACCTTGAACTCCTGGAAGCCCACCTCTACCGTGTAATCCAGGCTGACCGATAGGACCTTGGCTGCCTTTATCACCTTTTGAACCTATTAGAAAGTTACTTTAATTTCCCGTTCCTTATGCAAATGTGTCACCTTGAACTCCTGGATAGCCCAGCTCGCCTTTTTCACCTTTCTGTCCTCCCGCCCCTAATGTACCTTTGTCGCCTTTTTCACCGGGTAGGCCAATTTCGCCACGTTTACCTTGCTCTCCGCACAACCCAGGTGGTCCTCTTATACCAGGGTAGCCAGTATCTCCCTTTGGTCCGGGTATTCCTTTAACATAGTATGTTTTTCAAAAGGCTTTTAAAGGACTGGTGGGACACTAAATTACTATGAACTCGAACAGTTTAAATCAAAATTTAGCGCAGTGTGATCTATCAGAAATTATGCAAGATCGAATAGTAGTGAAGCATCATGTATTATTGCAAAACTGATTGGATAAATTAAAGGATCCGCCGAAGTGAGTGATATAGGGGAAATGGCGTAAGTCACGTTGTAATTATAAGCATGACATATACCCATAAAAAGATAGCAATGTGGATTATGGATACTTTATATGAACTTATTACCATCCAATCCATTGTTCCCTTGTTCACCTTTTTGCCCTGGAGATCCAACTTTTCCCTCTTTTCCATCAAATCCTGGTTTACCTGCCGGTGGCAATGTTACCGCAACATTAACAAAACGTATAATTTACGTACCTGGAGCACCAGGGGGGCTTTCTTTTCCTGGAGAGCCTGGAAGACCTGGTTCTCCTTTAATTCCCGTCAAGCCATCCCTCCCTATTTTAGTAATACATAAATTTGCCGTATTTTTCTTTCGATTTAAAGATCAGAAAAAATGGATTACTTACCATTTGCACCCGGAGCGCCACGTTCACCTTTTTGACCAGGAGAACCGGTTTCTCCCGATTCTCCACGTGCTCCTATAATATCATTGTAGTATTTGATATCTTATAATCAATCTTTTTACCCGGCGGGCCCTCATATCCTTTTTCACCGACTTTACCACTGTTTCCGATAGCTCCTTTCTCACCTTTGGGGCCCATCGCACCTACACATAGGAACTGATGTAATTATCTTAAAAGTACTCTTGGATACTTCTTAATACCATTGACTCCGCGTTCACCTTTGATCCCGGTACTTCCTGGAGCACCTGCAGAAAGTTATGCGAATGAGGAGAGAAGTCTCGGTAAATAGTAAAGTCAATACATCTATCCTATTATTAAGGTGCAAGTACACAATGAATAAAAAAAAGACTCTTTTCCATTTCATCATAGCTGTTACGTTACCTGTTGGTCCTTTTGGACCTGTTGGGCCCGCTGATCCTTTTGGACCAGGTGGTCCCCTAGGACCTGGGGGACCTGGTGGTCCTTTTGGTATTATGCCAGCAGCGCGTGTATGTCGACCGGCGGGGTGCCACTGTAACTATGGAATACAAAATGATTTTAAAAAATCCATAATTACTTTTTGGTTGCAAGCTACTCCATAACAAATATCCTTTAAATATCCTTCCTCGACGAGTAAAGCTTTAATTTCCTCTTTGGAAACCCCGTTACTCTTTTGCTTTAAACATTCTTGTCGTATATCGAGCTTTATGAGTTTGTACACGTAAAAACCAACAATTACTTCTACTAAACAAATAAATAGCACTGCAAATAGAATCAAAACCACTTTATTTTGGATGATCGAACTGTTTGTTTCACTGGATGCCATTATAAGACGCAACTAAAGCTGAAATTCCCTTCACGTATTTATACCGTTTTATCTTGCCAACGCGTCATACGGTTATGAAACTTTAAAAATTGCGATTAATTTGCTATTAAGGAATATCGCGTTTTACATTTTCCCACCATCATATACTTATTAACAATATTCTGTTTGTTTGCAAATTTGATGTATTAATAACAATATTTATTGTTCAAATATTAATGGACATTTGAAGAATATTGGTTAGGAGGCTCAGAGTTCGACCCGAAAGCCTTAGTGTGTATTTGTTTTCAGAGGAATGGAAATCCTTTACGAAAACCAAGCGCCTTAGGATCCACCGACGCATGGTATTGTAAGATTACCTTTGTTGGCAAACCCATTTCTGGGCCATCGTTTTCTGGATTGGCGGGAATTGCTATTCAGTTCCTCTGGCGACCCTACAAATTCGCTACTCTACTCTACGTTACTCGGCTTCTTTTGCTTTGTTTCTCTTTCCTCCGCCGCCTTTTCCACATAACCGCTGATGACGTATCGCAGTTGAGCAGCGCGAGGTCACCCAGTGTTCCTGAATGTACTCCCCAATCTCCCTTCGTGTATGTTTGGGATTGCAAATTTTTATATACATGGTAATTCAAAAATAGATATTGAGGTAGCATCTCACCAGTAATATGTTGACAAGTTGGTAGTACATCATATTCTTCGGTACTTCAGACATTCACACATCCAGCAACACAATGCTCGTTTACATATGTGGCTAAATGGACCAATTACATTTCCAATGTTACTGGTAAGATTGCCTGAATACGCACTTACGGTAAATTGTTAACTACGCAAAGACGTATAGATTTTCTTTAAATGTGTCATAAACTCTAAAATACTTATCACAGTATCCCATTTACTAAAAAAGCCTTTTGAGAAAGTGTTCCTTCACTCAACCAAATGAATGCTTAATGACAAATCTATAATCTGAAATATCATCAATTAAAAAATTATACAAATCTTAGCTTTCCTACGAGTAATACTAATTACAAGTGAAAGTATCCTAGTTTTAATAAGAAATAACTTAACATATAGTAATATACCTAGTCCAGTATTTATTGTGGTTATTCTCAAGCATATTTGTGGAAACGCTAAAGGATTGTATTTAAAAGGACATTTTATCACGCAAAATCCTGGAAAGTTTTGCTAGTTTAATAGTTATGTATAACTTTGGTTTCTTCGTTTCAGGCACTCTAACTGCTATATCAGATGGAATGCAGTACGGATGGTCGGCCCCAATCGTTCCGGTCCTGCAGTCGAGTAGGTCACCGGTGCACATTACCGATTCTGACATCGTGTGGATAGAAAACACATACCTTTTGGGAGGTCTGGCCGGAATACCATTAACGTTATATCTTTTGGACAAAATCGGACGTAAAAATACCATGTTAATCGCGGCATTGCAAAATGTGGTAGCTTGGTTGCTGGTGATGTTCGCCTCGTCCGTGGAGGTAGTGCTAATTGGACGTTTTTTAACAGGTGTTGCGGCCGATACTAACTTTGTCGCGACGCCAGTATATATAGCTGAGATTTCCGAAAAGAGGATACGTGGAAGATTGGGATCACTTATACACATAATGATGCTGATTGGCATTTTGCTTATTTACGGAATTGGGCCGTTTGTGTCAATTTCGGCGTCATCCAGCGTAGGAGTGGCCATATTGGTTGTGCAACTACTAACTTTCTCGTTCATGCCTGAAAGCCCTTATTATCTTCTGATGAAGAATAAAAGAGAGGAAGCGAGAAGAGCGTTACAAATCTTCCGCTCATCGCAAGATGTGGATGAAGAACTGGAGGAAATCGCACAAGTTGTCGAGGCGGAAAATAAAGCACGCAGACGTCCGCTTGAGTTGGTAACCGTTAACAGTAATCGTAAAGCCTTTGCAATTTTGACCGTCCTGAGTTTCGCCCAGCATTACGCTGGGATTAGCGTCATGTTAATGAATATTCATATTATTTTCAAAGATGTCGCCACAATAATTCCACCAAGCAGTGCAGCTATCCTGTTTTCTGCGTGCATGTTGCTAGCGTGTGTAATTGCTGCTTTTCTTATCGACAGCCTTGGACGAAAAGTGCTTCTGTATTCATCCAGTTTCTTGACTGGAATTTTCTTGCTAATTTTGGCTACGTACTTCGCCATGAAGGAAAATAATATAAATGTCAGCGAGTACAACTGGGTGCCAATAGTAGCGGTCATGCTGTACGCACTTACATTTAAATGCGGTTTGGGGTTAATACCGATTGTAATGACAGCTGAATTATACCCAACCAATCTTAAGGCATTAGGGTGCACTGCAGCAGACGCCATGTATCTAATTGCCGGAACATCGTCGATCTACATATTTCACTATTTACAAAGAAACTGTGGAATGCACGCGCCATTTATTCTATTTGGATGTTGCTGCATATTTTCTGGATTATTTTCCCTTCTTATTATACCTGAAACCAAGGGAAAAACTTTAGAAGAAATCCAAAAATTGCTTAAGGGTGAAGCAAAGTCGATTAAACGCGGGTGTGAAGAATGTACTAAATTAGAAAAGTGCCATTTGCTAGATCATATCGTTGGAAAGTCTGATTACAATTCTGTTTGAATGGTGACCAATAGCAGTATTCCACAATGAATTGAATTCTATTATTTGTGGTAACGTGTATTAGTAATAGTAATAGTTATGCGATCTTCCGAAACCATTAGCTCACCGTAGGGGTTCAATACGTCGCATTGGTCAGGATCTTAGGTGTAAAGGTGTAAAATAGATAGTATGCAGTATTTTATATGTTAAACTGTACTGTTAAAATGACTGAAATACAGATTTATGAAACCCGTTTATTTAATATTTAAGGCCATTATGACACAATGATCTTATATATTTATAAGGGAGTTAAGGGGAGGGGGTTTCACTCGCTATTGCCATAGATACCACCAAAGAGTATATGCCACTAAGGGCCGGTATTATAAAAGCACAGTTTAAGCGGAGATTAATTAATCGGCGATTGAACGTCAAACCAAGATTGAGAGCGGTTGCGTATTATAAACACCGTTAGAAAAGCGTTTGGTGAATCTGCGTTTGAGTTTACGATCCCTAGGACGGTAACACTGTGAGCGAACCAAGGACCAATCAGAGCGCAGAATTTTCAGTGGCCGATGCATCAGCTGACAGGTGATGACGTTGTTTACGTTCTTCGTACCGATCGCGTCCGCACCGCTCGTTCTTTTCGTTTCTGTGCCATTTGCCGCTGCCGCTGTGACTGTGCTGATCTGTTCATCCCCTTACGAAATCGTTTTACATAGCGCTGTTCTGCCTGCCACTGTGCCAATGACAGACAAGGGAAAAAGCGAGTGGTTTTTACGGACGCGGACGCCCATCAGCAAGCGGACTGCGTTCAGTCATATTTGAAAATAAAGGGACGGACGCCTCTACTACCAAGAACAAGGTTAAGCATCAGGATATCATCATTCATCAGATATAAGTTTTTTGTTCGCATCTATATCCCTAATCATTCTGTGTGAAAAACCTCACAGGTAATGAAGCTGGAGCTGGTGACGACAGCCTCACCATTGATGGGAAATTATTAATTAATTAACACACCCAGTTACGCAAAATATGTTTGTTTGGGTGGGCAATTAGTGCTCTAATCCTGTTTTCTAGGGATCTAACAATATCCTTGGATAACCGAAATCTCTGCCCAAATTCCTCTTCATCCCACTTGCCGAAATGATCAACACGTTCTTTAAAATTTCTGTTCTCCTTCTAATGAACTCATCCTCTTGCACATCCAATTCCATTTATTTCCATTTCGTTATAAATCGAAACAATGACACAAAACAAAATAAACTGGTTATGATAACCTTCATTCTTTACACGTTCGCGCGCCTAATCTCCGTTTGGGCCCCAAAACCCGAGAAAATTGACGGATTGACTACAATCGGAGATTGAGCTCTGGTTAAGACTCAAACGGCGTTTATAATACGCGCAATCGCACTCAAACTACGATTGAACGCCAATCTCCGTTCAAGCGGGCTTTATAATACCGGCCCTTAATACTACCAACGACAGAGTTGGACTGGGTCAAGCATACAGTGACCCAGTTAGTTTACTGACCCAGTGACCCGGTGACCCAGTGACCCGGTGACCCAGTTGACCCGGTGACCCAGCTTGACCCGGTGACCCAGCTTGACCCAGTTTGACCCAGTGATCCAGCTTGACCCGGTGACCCAGCTTGACCCGGTGACCCAGTTTGACCCGGTGACCCAGCTTGACCCAGTGACCCATCTTGACCCAGCTTTACTCAGTGACCCGTCTTGACCCGGTGGCCCAGTAATTAAATTATTGTTAGGTATCATCCAAAACAATTTCAAGTAACTTTTAATTTAAAAAAAAACTTCCTCAATAATATTCGGCAACAAGCACGTAGCCCAATTTCATTCAAGAGAACTAATACCTAAAAAAATCAAATGCATTTGTTTATAGTTTGTAGTCAAGTAGTCAATGAAAGTATTTAGAGAAAAGATTTATTTGGATTAAGCTAACTAGTAGAAAAAAAATTAAATGTGAATGAACACCTGTAAGCAAACTGGTAAGCCCTGAAGCAAAGAAATAACATTATTCTAATACAATTCGGGACATGGAAAGTTTTTTACGGCAGTATTAAAGCAAACATCACAGAAATGGCAGTTGTCAAGCAATCGAGTATTATTTTCAACAAACCAGCATTTCATTTATTTCATAATCTGTACACTTGAACCGAGAGCACTGACTTAACTGCGTTATTCGATCAAACTAGGCGACTGGGTCGAATTGGGTCCCCGGGTGAAATTGGGTCGCTGGGTCAAACTGGGTCACTGGGTCAAGTTGGGTCACTGGGTCAAACTGGGTCACTGGGTCACTGGGTCAAACTGGGTCACTGGGTCAAACTGGGTCACTGGGTCGAACTGAAAAGAGTATGACGTGACCCAGCGACCCAGTGATCCAGTTTAATTTAGTGACCCAGGTGACCCAGTTGACCCAGTGACCCAGTCCAACTCTGCCAACGAATACACAATGCTACGGTAACACGATGAGACACTTTCCTATATTGCCATATAATTTGCCAAATTTAATTTAAAATGTCGGTATTTTCACATTTGAAGAAAAATAGCCCATATTATGCGGAGCTAAAGTGACATCTTATGGATTGTCCCTATCTTGCAAACACTGACTCGCCATAAAAAGTATCACTGCTACTATTTATTCTCCTCGCAAAAGTGACAAAATGGAATAAAAACGACCAAAGTTTAAATTCATAATTTTTTTAATTCATATTTTGCTTTTTTTTTTAAAAAATGTATACAAAAACAGCTGCCTTAAAATAAATCTGGAATTGTCCACTGATTTTGTTCTCTCGCTCCACTCCTCCAAGTCAGTTGGAGTGGAGATCTCCAGAGCACGACGAACTGTATCGTGAAATCTCCAAAATGTGCTCGCGACGGATCCGTAGACTAAATCAACGTGTAATAAACCCATAAAGAGCGTTTAAAAAAGCGGCAGAGCACCTCGGTGTGCCCTAAGGAGTCATTGGATTTGACGATTGTTACATGTGGTGTTAACTGTGCAAAGTTTGAACCGAATAGGTTCAAGCGTTTGCCATAGGCAGAGAGACCGGAGACGTGACCCTACGGGGTCATTAGATTTGAACCAAATCGGTCCAAGCGTTAGACAGTTATTATGTTCACGGACAGACGGACGCCATCGACTCCCCTATAAAGCTTGCATCGCTTTACTCTGCCGCTTAATAAAGTGTAACTCTTGTTAGGAGGAACAAAAAGTGGCAGTACGCAATGAAATATTAATATACACATGCTGGGCTTTGCGCAATATTTTATACCGTTTTCCATATTTAATTCCCCGTAGCTTCGTTGGGGGATTTAAATAATCATGTGTTCGCAGTTGTTTTCTACAAGAATCTTTAAATTAGTACACTGATACATTGTCCAGGATTTTGATAGGACGAACCTTCGTTACTTCTCCTCATGTAATTTTCTTATTTTCAAGTAGGCATTCCCTTGCAAAATGTATGCCTCACAATGGCAAATGACGTGGTGTGGTGTTCGTACCAGTGCAAGGTATCTTGATTCTACAATGACACAATTTGCTTTCAATTTTGAAATTGTTGTAGCTAATTACTAGTACACAAAATAGCATATATGCCATAAGACCAAAGCGCGGCCTACCTTCGAGTGCGGGTTGACCTCAACAAGGTTTTTTTTAGTCGCCTTGATATATTGTTCTCCGCACTATTCTAATTAAAATTGGGATCACCAGTTTCGTACCAAGATAAAATTGTAAGTTTTTGATATTAATATTTTTAGTATTCTGATGAAGGTTGCTATGTCAATCGAAATATATAAATTTCATTAAAAACGGTTTTTACATTTGGCCTACCACCTTAAAGCCTAAACTGGACTCCCCCATCTTAACCACCCATACATTGGAATATTGTAGCGAATATTGCACAGCGATGTCTAGACGCCATCAGATAGCCATCAACGGTTCAACGTGCCATTATGTCGGTAAAAGATTAATCACCGGCGATAAGGAACGAGGCGTATGTGACGCATTCTTTCTGGGAAGTATGGTGCGTTTACTCGAGTATGTTCTAGAAAGTTTTTGTTTGCTACATAAGAAAATTGAGCGTGCTTAGTTTTTAGTCTCATGATCGATGTTGAAGTGAAATACTGACGTTTGCGAACGTGCCTGGCCAGGATTAGAAATTCCTGCTGGTAATTTCATAGGTGGTATAGCGTAACCAGGTACTTTTTTTAACGAGGTTGAGTTGACCCCCCCCCCCCCCTGTCGCGCAAGTCGACCAACCAATTTTTCTCAGATTTTGCATACGCATTGTACATGCTTCTACAGGTGCCATGCAAAACTTTTGAAATGGTATTATAATGCAAGGTCTCATCGAAAGGAATTGGTTTCTACAAACTATAACTGTCTTTCGCGATTCATTTTTGGGATCAGAGGATGAGGGGGAAGGGAGGGAGGCAGAAATTGGTTTTATCGTTCATGGTTCTCTACCGCCATTTACCCCTTATCAAAATTGAGGACGAGGGAGGAGACACTGACTTTATACTTCATGGTTCTTTACAGTATTTTAATTAAAGGTATCGAAAGAAATTGACTCCTACCAACTATCGCTTTCCTCCATGACCTATTATCGGGATCAGCTATAATTCCTTGCCTTTTTGTAATTGGTGGAGTCAAAGCTTTGAGTGCGAATATATCGAAAGCGAAGTGGCAAAAGAGAGTACTCATATAGAGCGATTAGAACGTTTGGTTGTAACAGATCTATTGGCGAGGTCAAAATGAATATCTCGAAAACGGAGTAGTCAGAGGAGAGTATCCACGAAGGAAAAAGAGAACGTTTGGACAAGAAATACATACTTATTGGTGATGCCAAAATGAATACCTAGAGGGGTGTTGAAGGACGGTACTCAGTACTCACAAGGAAGAATAATAGAACGTCTGGATGAAACATGTCTATTGGCTACGTTAGTTTAAGTGCGAATATGTCGATGACAGGGTGTCGGAGGATGGTACTCGCAGAAGGAAAGTGGAACAATAATATGGATGAAAGTGTAGTTAATTCTGATGACGTCAATAATGTACAAAGTTGAATAGATTAAATGATTAAAATGATTAGTTGGCTTTATTATACCGTAATCATTATTGGATTCAAAAGCAACTTTGTGTCCAAATTAGTCATGTCAATTGTGCTGTAACAATTATCAAACTACAGTAAGATCTTGTCGGGTACTACCACATTCCCTTTTTGGGTACCCACTT